ATACAGAAATCAAGGTCCCAGAACAATCTGAATTCTGTCCTAGAAGAGACCTCCTGGAGGTAGGGGAAGAAGGAGCAATTTTGTATCTCTTCACTGGCCGCCAAAGAAAAGGTGGCCAGTTAGCAATCTGGCTGGAGGATAATGGAGATGAGGCTTTGCACCTTTACTACAAGATGAACCAGTCACTTGGAGGCATACTGCTGACCATGCTTCACTGCCCAGTGGTAAAAGCACCCGTACCCTTGTCTCCACTTAAGATTTTACAGGAAAAAATTAGATGAAACCTGTTGCTCAATGAACCCAAAGCTTAATGCAATGTTTATCCATCACGTATATTTAGATTTGGTTCCACACTGGGGAGGTGATTCAGGAAACTGAGCTCTGGTACATGTAACTCCATTTTTTCCTACATTGTCTTTTTATAAAAAGGTGGGGCATTGGAGGGCAGATCATAAGGCACAGTGCTCACATACCTGGATGTTCCCCCTCCAGTGGAAAAGCCACATGTTCAGGACTTGTAGGAACTGGCTATATATGCTTGCATTTATGATTTCACTGATATTCTCTGGCTTGCCCTTGGTCAGTTTAGGACTCTGTAATGATCCAGACTACTGGAAGTCTTGTTGCTTTAACAGCAGAACAGGTACTACACAAACATGTTAAACTCCTGGTCAGAAATAAACACAATGAATTCATGCACAAGGTGGCTCAAACTGCTCAATATAGTTAAATTTGGAATTTCCCCTCAATCTCACAGATGTCTGCCCAGTGTGGATTATCTTCTTTGTGTTGCCTCAAGTAGAATATTGGGAATAGCCCACTATATTCAGAGGAGTATTTGTTCCTTGGCTACAGTATTGGGAAAGTTTTCTGAAAATGCACAGTGTGTGTGGTCTAACTTTAATTCAGTTTTACAAAGTGTTCCTTGTGGTGAATAGTCACCACATATAGACAGATGAACAGAGGGTAAATAATAGAAAGACAGTATATTTCTGAATGAAAAATCTCAGAATCCAGGCCAAAAGAGAAACAGCCTCTTAAAAATCTGTTTGGTGCATCACCTGTTAGGATTTGCAGCTGCAGTACTAATGAAGTCCCCAGAGTCCCATCAGTCTGGCCATCTAGGGACTTTCATGGACCAGTAACCATGGAGCCTCCTATGCCTGGTAGGATAGCTCTCTTGGTATGCAGTAGCCACATCTCTCTCCTTTGGAGTTTTCTGCCGGAACAGGAATGTAGCATATAGTATGCTCTATTAATTGCTGTATATAGAAATATAATATTGAAACATAGAATGTTTGCTGCACATTTAGGCATGAAGCGTTCTTGCACTTGCACATTAAGTGTAATTGGAGCTGGGCACAAAGCTTGTTGGCCTCTCATCCTTATGGTTGTGGTTTAGTTATTTAACAAACTGCAATAAATGGCTTATGTCACCATAAAAGTAATGAATGTAAAGTAACACTGTTTGTATTTTCTGATAGGTAAACCCAACCAATCATCGACTCCTGTTTGAAGTGTTTGATGAAAACAGATTGGTGAGTATAGTCCTTGTACTGCTCTTTGTATTTTTATTAAACACAAAGTGGAGCACAGGAGTGCCACTGGCTTCCCGGTTGGTGAGATTGGCTGTGGGGACCCCCCCAGTGACTGACTGGCCACTGTGGGGGGCATGTGCCTCCCCCACTCTGACTCAGGTGTTACCAGTCGCCCATGCACAGATGTCATGCAGCTTCTTTAAATTCTTGGATACTTTGACATATCCTAATTCAGGGGTTGGCTACTTTTTAGGAGTGGCATACCAAATTGACAGAGCTCTGTTCATGGGGGGAGTAGGGAAAAGAAGGTGCTGCTTCTGACCCAGCAGCTGCCACCACTTCTTATTTACCAACACCAAATTACTCCTGATTCTCCCTGATGTCTTGGCTTTGCAGGCTAAACAAAATCTCTTGAGGAGGTTGCTGACCCCTGTTCTAATTAAAAAGTTCGTATTATCTGGGATATGTCAGCAGCTACACCAAGGAACATAAAATGACGCACATAAACCGGGACATCAGTCTGTTTTACAGCACCAATATTCAAATTTCTTTTCCTGTACCAAGGTCATCTTTTGCAATGGGGAAGTTATAATGAAAATTCTAGCCTTCCAAGCCTTATGAGCTGCTCGTTTTGATAAGATTAAATAGCTGTCTCCCTTTAATAGGTATCTGTGCAAAAATCTTTATGCTTTGGTTCTGGGGAAAGTAGAAGAGATTGGTGCCATATTATACTTTGTAAACTACTAAAATAAAATCCAACACTTTTAGCACCACTCTCCTGTGTTATTACATAAAATGTTAATTTTGCTCTGATTAGGATAAGTACATTGTGTTTCAGCAAAATGTGTGTACTATATTGGGATGAGTGGGAGGGGAAATAAGTTTTGCTAGGTAGTTGGAATATGTTTTTATTACTTTATGAGATCTTTAACATCAAAACAGATCATTCCTAGAAAAGCAGTTTCTTTTTTCTTCCCTAGCTCTCCATCAACTGTAGTGCAAGATAGAATATACATACAGACTCTTAAGGGGAAAGATCTAGGGAATATTGTAAGGAAGTAACCTAACATAGGTATATGGACTCTGTGGTTGTTGGCGTGCATTTAATCAAAAGAGAAATTGGGATCATCTGTTATACAAACATAGGCCACCTCCCTTTGACCTGCAGGAGATTCTTAGTTAGATTTGGCTAGCTGTAGTTGTCTTTGTAGGCTAACCAGTGGGTGGGACAACATCATAACCTTTTGAATGGGTCTTATTCCAGGCAGCAGAGGGCAGTGTTGTGCACAGTCAAACCAGGCAGAAGGCAGGGCAGAGTGGCACAGTATAAACTAATTCAGAGGTGTAAGTTTTTGTAAACAATAGCTTACTTCATCATATGCTATGATTTGGCTGGACATGATGCCATTCTCAGCATCTGACAGTGGAGTTGTTGCTTACAAAAGCTTATACCTCACTTAATTCGTTAGTCTACACAGTGCCACTCGCCCTGCCTTCTGCCTGCCTAACTTGGCTGACCGCCTCCTGAAGTCAAACCAGAATGCGATAGTTTAGTGGCGGTCACTTAAAAGGTATTTTTCAACTGTTACTGCAAAGCGACATTTGAGACCTTTCTCTTGCTTACATTTCAGATATTACGTTTGGTAACTTGGGGTGCTTTTTTAGATGGAGCTAATGTGAATAAATATATATATATATATATATATATATAAAAACAAAGAGCACTTATGGTTCAGTTTATCATAGTGATAAGTTATGTGCCTTAGGCTGAGGGTGCATTGAACTGAATTTTTTTAGATTGATTTTTATGTTATGACTATATTTTGGGAGCCAAAACACTTATATTTTTCTGTGTTATAGTTTACATTGGGAGTAAATAACTGGTATAAAGCCTAATTTTGTCAGGGTTTTTTTTTCTTTTTTTGGTTCAACTTGTACCATAGCCATCACAGAACTGTGAGATTGGAGAAGGTTGCCCCTGCTACCCAGCCCTGCCACAACCAAAAATATTTGGTAACAAGTTTTTAAGCATTAGTGCAAAAAGTCTTTGTCATCCAAATAGTCTAAAACCTTCTTTGTCATCTGAAATGTGTATTAAAATAATAATAGCACCTGGGATTGCATCAGGCAATCTTCAGTACTGTTGCTGCTTAGAAAATACCCATGTTTTTCTTGTTGTTGGCTCATAGTCCAGTTAAAACAATAGAGGATTGTCCTGGCCTGTGGCTATTTTGTCATTTAAAGTAGCTTCCATTTCTCTTATAATTGGTCATTTTCTGTTTTTGAAAGCAATCTGTTGGAAAACAGAGGTTTAATGCCTAAGTGGGGGGCTGACCTACCCCCACAAGTTTTCATAGCTGTTGACAAAACTAGTGCTTTTGGTTTTCAAACAAGTTCCCTCTCTGCACTACTGAATGGGGGATACTTTTGTTTCTTTTTGAAGATTCTTTTTAATTGGTTGTTGTACGAACCATGAACAAGTGTATTAAAACTCCAGGGCCCCTCAAATCTGCTCCCCCCACCCTTTTTTTTTTTTTAAACAGTGAGATTCTGGAGGGCTGATTTTTAGGGGATGTTATAATTTTGGGTTGTATCCTGTCTGTTCATTGTTCTTTGAGCTCTTTTGGCTCTTAGCAAGCATAACTGTATTCCATGCTGGCAATCAGACTCGTGGTAATATTGCTAACTTTCTCATTGGAAGTCTGCCAGCGCTGGGCAGTGTTTTTGTACGGTGTTTAAGGGAAATCAGGACAAAGCTACATGCACACCCGTCTCCAGTTTTCACTCATCTTTGCTGCCTGGTAAATCTGAAAAAGAAACTGTTTCCTGCCATTTTGCTCATTTCTGCTTCTTGCGTTGTGTGTGAAATCCTTGTCATATGTAAGGTTTCTGTATTTGTTGTAGTTTTTATGTAGCGAATAAGCTGTACTGAGTAGCATAGGCTATGCTGTGTTTACAGTGGCAACGTGGAACTTGTGCCCTTTTCCAGAGAAAATAGTTTGTTACTTAAATCATTTTAAGAACAAGGAAAAATCTAAAGCATAACCATGCACTAATATTTATTTATGTTCTACCATGGTAGCCTAATGTTGGAACAGACACCACCGAAACGGATCAAGCCTGAGTCTGTCTCTTCCCTGAACCCTTTTCTACTTGCCTATCTGCGTATGACGTTGACTCAAACTTTTTAACAGTAAATTAGAGTGGTTTTTTTTTTCTAGTTAACTCTCACAGTCTCTCTCTCTCTCTCTCTCTCTTTTCCCCACCCCCCTCTCTCTCTGTCTCTGCTGAGTACAAAAGTGCCCTGTGAATATTATGTGGTTTAGATTTATAGCAGTACCGAGTGTGTTTGCTGCCTTAGTCAGCTGTGAGAGCTCTCCCGCTGGGGCCGCTCCTTTCTGATGGAAAAGGAGCAGCTGGGAAGGTGCTGTTTCAGGCTCTTGCTGGTATTAAAAAAAAAAAAAAAATCACTAGCTTGCATTGGAGAGGGGGAACCAGGTCATGTGATTCCAACCATCCTACCCTATGTGACAGTGTGTAGGAGCGCTGATTGCTCTTATCCAATCATGCCTGGAATGCTGCTTGCCACTTGGGCTATTTCTGCTATCTGTCGCTATCAGTGCTGCAGTGCTAACAGTTTGGCAGATGGGACACTTTTTCTTGGAGTTTATGTCTATGGTTTTTAACTTCTGGCAGTTCCTGAATTGCTGCTGTTTTCCTTCTCCTTTTCCTCTCTCTGTAAAACCATGGCCCATCGGCTGCGGTTTCATTTTGGCTCTGGACGAAGCAACACAGCCCCTGAATCGGAGATCCTAGACCGCGAAAGAGAAGATGACTTTTTCATGGCATTCCATACTTTGCCCCGAAGAAACAGTCCTCATCCTTTCTCCCGACATGGAGCGGATTATGGTGGCAGCGATTTACAAGAAGTGGGCACCTTAAAAAGGAGCACGTCCATGTTTATTCCTCAGCTGCTGAACAGTATTGATGTGCGCCCAACAAGGAGCTCATCTATGCACATTTCCCTTCAGCGCAAAGCGGTGAATGGCTATGCTGATGAGTGCGGAGCCCCAGATTCTCCAGATGAGACGCTTCCATGTAAATTCTCAGACTTTAGGGAGAATCTGACATCACCCATGGAAAGTCGTTCTTCCTCGCCAAGCAGTCCAGAAGTGACACCAGAAAATTCACCGCCCAGGGGGCCTGAAGAACTAGGGCAACAGGTTAACGGAGCTGCTTCCTGTAACCATTCAATATTTTGTACAATTCCTTCCAGTAACCAGAGTGACGCCGCTGCATCTACTGCCCCAGACGATGAGGCAAGTGAAGCAGCTTCAGGTTTAAACATAAGTGGTGTACGGATTCAGCATCGTGCTTCCAGCGCCGATATGCATCAGGTAACACTTTTGCCCTTTGGGTCTGAGGCTCAGCACAATGTTCCTGCCTCTGAACCGAGGCGCTGGTCTTTGCAGCATCTGCCAGATATGTCAGCGAATTCAGGAAAAAAGCTCTTTGTTCTCCAGTTGCAGCAGCCACAGGCCAGCGGTACGGGTATAGGAGGCGATTACAATTTTGGTTTTACTGGAACAAAAGGAGACAGGTTGGTGAGATATCCACGGATACGGCTGGAAAGGAGCACTTCCTACCCGGTCCAGCCACGACCAGAACAGATTAGCCCTGTGGAAGATGGAGCAAATTCAGAACTTCATGGAAATGGCAGAAATGGGTCAGAAATATCTAGAAGCAATTCAGTAGAAAGGATTCCTCAAGGACAAGGGGGATGCACGTTTAAAATCAGACCAGATCAAAACACAAGGCAGCAACATTTCAGAATTCTTGTAACCCGTGGTCCTGAAGAACAAAATCAAGCTCCTGCTCAGGAGAGCCCTGGTACACCTGGTCCTACAGCGGCCAGGGCCACAGTAAGTACCTCTCTGAATATGCTTCCCTGGTAACCTATATTTTCTAGGACAACCTAGAAAAGCTTCTTCATTTTCAGATAAAGATCTTCACTCATTTAGTACAAGAAGGCTCAACATTTCTCTGGAACAGTCTGTAAAGCATCTTTATTTCTAACCTAAAATAACTTTTGCTCCCAGTGATGATTACAAGTGTAATGTTTTGTTGAGATCCTAATGGCTCACATGTTGCTTAACTCAGTGTGACGTCAGCTGAAGAGACTCGGGATTGGGAGCCCGTGTCACTGTTCCTTAATTACCTTAGCAGCGTGCTAGTCTTTGCTGTGCAAAGAATTCCTTTTTTTTAAACAAATATTACAGTGCTTTCTGAATATAATATGTATACATACATACACATACCCACAGACTTAACATGAAAGCAAAATACACTAATAGCTTAGGGCTTGGAAATTACATAGTAAGTTTTGGTAAGGAAACTAATGTTGCTTTCAAACTACGAGGGGGTTGGAATTGTTATCGTTATTACAAAAAAATACTTTTGTACGTCATCTTTTTTGGTGTAAGAACTTTTCACATATGCCGTTTTGTGCTCTCTACCCCTTCAGTGTCTAATGAAATGTGATCAGGCTACTGTAAGTGTGGTTTTCACATCACTAAGTAACGTCTCGTTTTGTACATCTTGGGCATATAAGTGTCTCTTAACAGCATCTTGGGTATGATGTTGCATTATAAAGTGAAAAATTGTCTTATAATGCTTGTTTCTCATATAATGAGGGAGAATTTGTGTTTTATGTTATTTTAAACAATTATTTTAAAAACCCAAGTGTGGTTAAACCTGAAGGGGGTAGAGGAGTCATTTGCTTGAATTGCTTTATAGTGCAATTTAACACTGCCCACTTGAGTTTCTAAGCTTAATGATGCTGTATATAGAATAGTAAGTATTCTGTCTCCAGCTGTGAAAACAGCCTCGCTAGAACAGATTTTGGCCTTTTATTACTTGTACACTGCCTTATTCTTTCACGCTCTCTTTCAGTTAAACGTAGCAGAGAAAGACAGCTGCTAAATGCAGCAAGGCCATATGATGACTGCAGGTTTTATAGCAAAAAACAAATAGTATGGAAGTTATTCCAAGATAGCCATCTTTTTAACACTCCAGCACCCATTAGGAATACAAGAATACTTGTCCTCAAAGCTCTAATTCAGAACACAAAAACTTCTGTTCAATTTGTGTTCCAGATAAAAACCCCTTGTATATGTATTGATTAGTGTCTTTGCTGGCAGCTTCTGGATATTTTGCATTCTGAATTCTCCTATTGAAAATATCTCTGGTGTTTTCCTTTCATTAGGAGTTCACACGTGCTCTTCAATATGTTAAATAAAATGTTACTATTCTGTCACATAAACATTTAGTGTTTTTCCTTTTTTTATTTTCAGAAGTTTTAATCTGTAATAGTAGGCCTGAACTGCATACATATTTGGATACCGATTTTCCTTGAAATTTAAGGATGTTTCAGTGCAGGAATTTGGGAGAAAAAGGGCGAGTTGTGAAGCTCAATCCAAATTAATCCGGTTGTAATTTTTTGTAAATTTGGGGTAATTCACAGGCAGTCTTTTGGTTTAGGCCCTAGTCTAGAGTTGACCAGAGTTTTGAGACACCATCTAAACCTCTGTCAGGGAGGCTTCCACAGCATTTCAACATACTGTTACCCCAGATCACCCAGTCTTAAGTCTTAACTGTCATTTTCCATTGATCACCTCTAGTTTTTTGTCCAGCAAACTGTTATGCCTATAACAGTCGAGCTATTCACAGGGGAAGAAAGTGACCACAAACCTGATATATAAATGCTTTAGACACACAGGAGGAAGAGTCCAAGCTGTACAGTTTGGATGTTCTTACTCTGATGTCTCTGACCCAATACTTACCTTCCTTAGCATGGAGAAAGGGACCCCTGAAAGTACTCCTAAACTTGGCCTTCACTATAGCATTCATTTATAACCCAAAACGCACATTTTAAGATTGCCTATAGACAATAATAATACTTGTTTCTAAGTGCATCTAATTTTAGCCACCACATAAAATTAATTAGTCAGTCATGTTGCTTGGCAGTTGCAGAGCCACTCAGGCCAAAGGGGATTTAAATTCTTCACTGCAAACAGGTTTCCTAAATTAAAGTGCTTAAGATTTTTTCCCCCCCTTTTAAATATACTATGCTCTCTTGACATTATTTCTAGTGAGCCCAGAAATGTCCTAGGGGGAGGCAGTTCGTTACGCATGTTTCTATAGGAAATCTGGACAAGGAAAACAATTTAAGAATGAATATTTTCTTTATTTAGTTTACAAATAAAATGCTTTTCACTGGGGTGTTGCTTTTAATTCATTCCTAAAAAAATTGTTTTGATGGATGTCACATGATGATGGGCCAGTATTTGCTGCAGTGTTTGTTTTACTAAACTGGAGGGTAAAATCTGTTTGGGTAAAATCATTTCTAGACTCTTCCAGTTCAGCTAGTTTGTGTGTATTTGATTGATATAGGGCACGGGCCTAGCACTGTAGGCAGCAGCTGCTACAGCCTTATTTATCTTGAGTGAAAACATTCATGCGGGCGTCTGCAGTCCTACTGCTACCAAGTGTTTATGACCTTTCAAATATCTTCTGTTTTAGTCAGAAGTGTTTTTGGGCAGGGAGGATGTATTTCATTATGAGTTACCATAAAATATTGAGTAAAGTAAAAGCATGTGACCAGCTTTGGAGTAGGAACCAATCTGTTAAAATCTTGATTTGGAAGTTTCATGGCAAATTCTCTTGACTGCCCTCTTACTTTACATGCACTTGTGTACGCATGTGGGTGTCTGCATATAAAAAATAGATTTTGCAGTATATCATTGTGTTTGTAGTGTACATTTTGCTCTACATCTATATGTCCAAACTGCTGCTGTATTTGAACCTACACAACTTCATGTATCGAACAACTGGTTTTGGAGAATCCAGTATTCCAATTGAAAGATTGAAAGCAAAAAGTGTAATTTGATAAATAAAACATTGTGGTATTACATCGTAGCTGATATGAAATTGTAGTAAAAATAGATGAGATGGCACCTCCAAATCTTGTAAATCAGTTCTGCAGTTATCACAGCTGAACTTTCATTTTTTTTTCTCCATTTTAAATATTGTTCTAAGTTAGCTCCAGCTAGCAGCAGTAATTATTAAGCTTCCCTCAACAACTGTTTGGTTTTTGTAGAGGGGAAAGATTTGAGTGTGAGATTTGGAGCCTGGATTTCTTTCTCTCTCTTTTTTACTACTTTTAGGGGGTTTTTTTAAGGCTTTTAATTATTTGGATTTTTTTTAAATCTCTATTTCTACAGATTTCTGATGCAAGCAAAATCAGACTACAATGGTCTAAAACTAATATACAAACAATGCATGTGGTAGCAATCTGCCCTATTCCATTTGAAATTTGTGGCAAAACCTTAATTTACTTCAGTGAAAATGGATTGGGCCTAAAGTGTGTAATACGACATTCTACAATCTAACTTCGAGCACGATGCCTTCATGGTGCCTATACAGATATCCATACATAGAGACAAATAAAATATATGTATGGAAAATAAGATACTATAAAGGAGTGTTCATTTTAAAAGAGAACTGTGCTAGACTTCTTTCTACATAATGTCTCAAAATCTGACATTGACTCCTAATAGACGCATACATTTTTTTCTAAAAACTTGTCTACAATTTCAAATGAATACCTGTTCACAATGTCTGTTTTCCATTACTCACTAACAAGCTCTGTAGAAATAAATTGTTCAAGTACTCTAGGTCTTCATTGTGAAAGTTTCTCTATTATTTGTTCTCTTTCCC